CCCGACCAACTGTATCGGCATCCACAAGTTCGCGGAGACGCACCACTGCAAGGAGCTGGCCGAGACCGCCAAGGGGTTCGTCCTGGATCACTTCTTAGACGTCTGCCAGAGCAGGGAGTTCATAGGTAAAGTTAGTTGTCATTGTCTATATTTCAATTAATTCATTGCACTTAAACTTTAAAACACAGTTAATACACTAATGCAGGGGCCATACCCACTGGTTTTTTGCCCAAGGGGGTTGATCCCTACAATGTACGTAAGAGTTACTAAAAAATCGGTTGATTTCGAAAATTTGTCCAAATGTTCAAAATCTATTCCCAAATGTACGAACTCTATTTCTAGATGTCAAACTTTATTTCCAAATGTTTTTAAATCTAATTTCCAAATTTTCAAAATCTGTTTCCAAACTTTGAAAGTTTATTTCCATTTTTTAAACATCTGTCCATTTTTTAAACATCTTTGCTTGCCAATAAGTAAAAGTGTTCCTATAATAAACCACAATTTTCCTATGCATTCAATCGTTCATTCATTTAATATTCATTCCTTCCTTCTATCATTCCCAGCCCTGGATAAGAAGTTTGTGGTAGACTACATCTCCAGCGCGAACCTGCGCGTGATGAAGGAGCGGGTGTACGAGGCTGTGATGTCCTGGGTCAAGTACAGTGTTCAGAGGAGAGCGGCCGCCCTGCCGGAACTGTTGGGGCACGTCAAGCTGCCGTTCATCGCTCAGCACTACTTCGTCACCAAGATCGAGACAGAGCCACTTATTGTCAACTCACCAAGATGTATCAAGGTAGGTTCTTTGTTCTTTATTTATTTACCCAGGACAATAGTGATAATACATGATGATCTGCACTCCCGGAACTGTTGGGGCACGTCAAGCTGCCGTTCATCGCTCAGCACTACTTCGTCACCAAGATCGAGACAGAGCCACTTATTGTCAACTCTCCAAGGTGTATCAAGGTAAGGATCTTCTAGAACCTTCAGGCAGATTCCAGAAGAAGAAAAGAAGTTGCCATGTCCCCCGAAGCTGTTGTGGTGTCTCTTTATGTTTTGAGTGAAGTGAAAATGATTGATTTACTTTACTTTAGAATGGTACTGGACTATTCCTGGGGGGTATACTAGTACATGTACTGTGAGGGCAATGACCCTCCCCCCTTCACCAAAAACTTCAGTGACTTGACAGATTTTTTTGACGTTTTGAGCACACTGTTGCCTTTATAAATAGTACTTTTACAACTTTCATAGGGGACCTAATAATGTATACTAATAATATGGGTCAATGGATTCACAGAAATATCATTGTTGTACCACAATGGAAGCATTCATATTCGGTTAGTCCAGCTGTGGTCATCAACTATCAATGTCCTGCCATATTTAGTATATCCAGGAAGAATGAGGGCTAGGCAACAGAAAATATGCGAGGATGATATCAGAGAATGGACCAACAAGACACTAAATAAACAGTAAACCCAGAAGGTTGGAGAAAACTGCTCAACAGATCTTCTGAGGTGCCCCAACTGTCAAAGGATTAGACTAAGAAATGTGCTTTATGTGCTTTATTACTTCGTGATATATATACGTGAGATTAAACTATTGACATTTGTTGGTTATTGTTTGCAGGTTTTGCAGTACACCAGAAATTACCACATCTTCAACAACGACCCAAACAGCCGACCAAAGTTCTTCATGAAGCCGGGGAGGGGACGGGAGGGGACCAAACAGGAAGTACAGGAGGTAATTATACAAAACAGAAAAACTAGAAAAAAACATGGTAAGAAAGTAAAACTCCACCCTAAACAGGAAAGCTATAGCTTGGGCCTACAAACTCAGTGACAGATGGAAGACAGCAGATGCTAATGCCTGAATCCTCAGAGCATTTCTCCAGTTGCTTGATTCATTTTGTATTACATTTGTATATGATGTTCTATCTGGATGTCTAACCTTCATCGATGTTACGCCTTTGTGTTCCGGAGTTTTCTGGCATTACATCGTCCAATTTCAA